GTCTAAATACCCCACGCAACGCCACTTACAATTTCTTTCGATGACATTGGACTTACACCACTTTCAAAATAAACGGCTCAAATAAAAATCACAATTTTGTATTACTTTAAGTCAATTATAGGACATTCAGTTAATTTTGAAAATGGTCTAAGTCAATTCAAGCTTTAAAAACAACATTTTCCTATGAAATTCACACAAAATTTCATATCTATAATAAATTTCCATTAATCAAGACTAATAAAATTATAAATTAAAATGTCGCATAATGTAAAAATATTTTTTAATTTATTCAAATGCGATTCATTAAATATCTCGAAACAAGAAATATATGACTTAGACCACTTTCATAATTATGGGCACATATTGTTAAGATAAGTCTGTATATTGTAAATCGATGTGAAGACAAAAGAAGTGTGAAACAATGCATATGAAGACGATTATTTGATTCAAACGATGATCGAGTGAGCTACTAGAGTAAGCCACTATAGTGGCACGTCGTTCAGAGAGATGACATCCGCGAAAGCCACTATAGTGGCGCGTCGTGCCTAAAAGGTTAAAGCAATCGCAATATAAAAACATAAAAAAATAATAATAATTCAATACAATTCGTTGTTATAGGACCCAAATATGTAATCCCATCGTGCCACATGGGTTCATGAATGCACATTCAACTATTGCAATATTTCGAGATGGGTCTAAAAATGTCGCGCCATGCATTACCGTGCATCAAAAAAAGATGGGACATTTTGAATGTCGCCGTGCTCCAAAGAGTTAACCAATTAAGCTATCCCAGCCAACCGACGACAATCTCCCAGTATTTAAACACGTGGAGCCTACGCGTCAGAAATAATGCCAAGGGCTCGCACTACGAACGAAAACTCACATGCAACGGGGTCGACGGAGTCCACGATCCCGTGCATCAGCATGCTCCACCGGAAGAACGCGCGATTATCCTCATCGACTGACTTCGTTTTGGAGTCCCTGTCGGAATCGGTGGAATACGAACTAGAGGAACTACTCCCCTCGAACTCGACACCTTCGACACTGCCGTCCGGAGAAACGGCGCTCGAAACGTCGGAGCTGCGAAGAAGACGTTGCAAATAGGACGCCGAAGAGATCGTCTTGAAGCGGACTGCGTCGGTCTTACAGCGTTCTCACGGGCTTCTCGTTGAAAATGGAGAAAAAGGTCTCGCTGGCGGGTTCTAGGCTGCCTGCGGGGATTACGTCGTCCCGGCGAGGCTTCCTCAAGCCGTTGTACACGCCCAGCTCGAAGTTATCGTCGAGCATGTCCACGTCCACCTGTCTGTTGAGAAACATCACGCCGTTGGCCAGGCCGTCCACGTCCTCGGAAACGATCAGCTGCCGGAAATCGTTCGGGTAGCGAACCATTTCGCTGACGTAGTACTCTCCGTAGCGTTCCTTGAGCAGCGAGGACTCCCCGTCGATCAGCGGCACCACCAAGTCGTTGTCCTCCTCTCTGCTCCAAATTCGTTGCCCGATGGGTGCATAATCGCTCGAGAACTTTCGCGCTTTCCCAAGGTTCTCCGCTACTCACACGACCAGCCGGACCTTCCGTCTCCGGACCATCTCCCCGTATCTGAAGACGATGCGCAGCGACTGCACCGCGTGCGAGTTCGTCAGGCACTTCGGAGGGACCCTGACCGTCTGCTTCTCGAACACGCCCGCTGGAAGAGACCGCCGAAAGAACAGTTTCGCCCGACTGGTTTCGTCGCGACGGAGAATCGCTGCGGTTCGCCGAGGGGTCACCTGGTATAACCCGCGGTGGATTCACGAGGATCACGTGCAGGAGATACGGGGCGATGGCGAACAGCCCGTTCATGAGCTCCTCGAAGAAACGGTCGGCGTTGTACCGGTGGTCCCACGCGAGGAAGTGCATGAATAGCGTGTTTCTTTCCGTCACGTCCTCGGCCCTTTTTGCACCGAGCGTAGGTGAGACGCCCGAGACCCGACCTTGATCCCGGCGGACCGCGCGCATAGGAGCATTTGCATAAAGATCGGTCGAAGCTTTTTAAACGGCGCGTCGTAGGACCGTCGAGTCGAAGCGGTCTCGAATGGAAATTTCGTAATTCTACCAGCGCGCCGACGCGACTCTTAACACTTAGCCGACCGATCGGATAGATCTACCTATTTCCAAGCTAGTCGGTGGCCGACCGATCGGATAGATCTATCTATTTCCAAGCTAGTCGGTGGCCGACCGATCGGATAGATCTATCTATTTCCAAGCTAGTCGGTGGCCGACCGATCGGGTAGATCTACCATTTTGACCCGAGGAACGCTTCTTTCTCTATAGAGCTTCTTATTTCTATAGAGTACAACATATAATAAAATGCACACCAGCACACCAACACCACACCCATTAGAAATAGAAATGCTACCTACACCCCACTCTCACGACTTTTTTCGAATATATAAGACTCCGCTCAACTTGCAAATATTAGTGTAGAAGCTAAGCTCCTTGCTGTGACTCTCAACAAGTGGTGTGAAACGAAGTATAGAAAAAATATCCCTAAAAATGTCCAGAAACATGAACGACGAGTTGTTTATGGACATACTATCAGACTGTTCCGAAGACATTGATCTACTGATAAGTGATTGTGAAGTTGACGACAGTAATAGCACCATCGTTACCATACATCAGACTAATCGACGAATCCTTTCGAGTGAATCGGAAGATGATTCCGCCGATGACTCGGAATCAAATGTTATTGTCAATGGCGTCGATGATCGGACAGAAGATGATATTAGAGTTGAACTGAAGCATATGGTCGAACCGCGTGCATCAACACAATGCCTAAACATCACGATATATTACTGCTTTTTTGTTCCATATTTGAGTTACGTTATTTATCCGTCATCTTTACTGTCCTTAATTTTCTGACTCTATTAACTATACTTTTTGAATAACCATTAAAAAATAATTATTATAAACTTTTAAATTCAAATTTTGTATAAGCAATACGTGAAATCGTTGAACGAAATTGTTACCGTAAGGTATAATTGATCGCATAAATAATTTTCGGACGTTTTTGATTTCAAATAGCGAATTTCAGTCCGTGCTACCTCAGAAAAATGCGCGGTGGACAGCGCAGTTTGGCTTTCCCGTGCGCGGTGGAAACTGTACAGGTCTCTGTGGCGCGTGCGGTCGGCTAAGTGTTAATACGAATGGAGCATCGAATTCCGTTGTCTTTCGAGAACGACGTTACTTCGATCGACCCTCTAGATTAGAGATTCGTTTCTCCAATGTTACCGCGCCGCAACAGTGAAAACCGTCGGATCGGCCAAGGCGATCTCGTCTTTTTGCAGAGGATACTCCTGTGTGCGGTCTCGCGTTTACCCGTATAACGTGCGCTGCCAGCTCGGCCAGTCCTCCGGAGTCACCGCCGGCACATTAGGATAATTGCACAGACATATGCCCGAGACGAGATCGTGTTTCTCGTTCCACTGGACCACCGACAGGGAGCTCGCCTCGCTGGAAACGCAACGTTTCCTGTAATCTCGGCGGCAAGGAGCCGTCCGCTCGATTACGATTCGGACAAAGCTGGCGGACGCGTACTAGATGCGCGGGAGGTTCACGTTGCCGAATACGCTATACGTGTCCGGATGCACGAGCTTCTCGAGGGCCGCCAGATCGGCGTGCTCCATTTTCCTGACGCCGAGAATCCCCGGCATCGGGCGTCCATCGCGGTGCCCGGTGAAATCTCCATTTGGATCGCCGAGCCACATGTTCTCCGTCACGATAGAATCCAATCAACTGAAACGCGTCGCGGGAGCTTCGATCCGCGACTGTTTTCCGCGTCACGGCATCCGGTTTCGTGGACGATCGTCGATCCCGAAGCCGAGCAACCTCGCGAGGTCGAAAGCCCGTCGCATCTAGCCAGCAACGATGGCGACCTTCGCGACGATGCACTCTCGAGGAAAGCAGCGATGCAAGCGATCAGTTTCCGGACGTCGGGGACCAGCGCGAAAGCGGTCGGAACCCCCCGAAACGGATGATCGAGGAAGCAAAATGGAAGCCGGATGCGAAGGCTCGATTGGGAAAGTTCGAGCCGAGGGAAACGCTCGATCGAATTGGCCGGGAGTGTCGGCAGAGAGACCGTGGGAAAAATAGCAAATCGCGGTTTTAACTATATCCACAGGCCCAACGAGGCGACCGACTTTAATGCCCGCAAAAAAGGTAATAACGAAACTCCTCGAACGATTTAAACGGTGGGGCAAAGTAATTGCCTCGCGTTCTCGCTCCGCGGTGATGGCCCCTCTCTTTCTCCTCGCCTTTCTTCACGGCGGATCGCCTTCGGGCCGTGTTCGCTGCGCAGATTCTCAACGAGAACCGCGTTCGGTGCACCCGGAGCCTCGTCGGCGAGCGGGCGATCGCACCTGGTGCAAACGATTTTCAACTTTGGACCGTTCCATGCCGTCCGAATTGCCTTCTTCGAATTCGATCCGACCTTTTGTCTCTTTTCTTTCGGGTTGAAGCGGTCGCATTGTTCGCTGCAGAAAGCCTCTGTTGGATGCAGACCGACGCAACGATATCCGGGTTCTAGGCTCGGCCCGTTGCTCTTCGGGCAACTATGGGCTTGCGGAAATGTCGGGGGTGCGAACGAACGGCGTGTCGCGATGGTTTTTCTTTGCGGCGTGCCGCAACACATATCGCGGAAGCTATTTACGGTGAGCGCGGTGCGTGCAACTTGTGTAAGTCGCAACGGCGAGAACACACGTGCGCGAGAACAACGATGCAATCGTCTCTCGGCACGGCCGGAGCTGCGCGCTTTTCGCCGGGACCACCTTCTTCGCTCGTTCGTCGTTATTCTAATTTTTCCTCTGTTCCCTCGCGGTGCTCGCGCGGATCGCGGAGAGAGAGAGAGAGAGAGTGGCAGATTCGAGGTTCGAGGTCTGCGCCGCGTTTCCGAGAATCTTTAATGATCCGCGTCATGCAACGCCGCTCGCCGTCACGAGACGCGAGAACGGGAACGCGAGCTGGCACGAGTGTGAACCTTTCGGCGATCCGGTCTGTACAACTTGTCGGTAGATAGGCCCGATTAGCTCGATTAGAACAAGCTCCTGCACGAAGATATTAAAGCGCCGTGAAACGGCGCGCGCTGCTCGCGTTTACACGGCCTGCGGCGAGCACCGTCAGCGCCGGGAAAGAAATGCTCGTCCTTGCCAAGTTCGAAAGTTAGGGTTCTAGTTTGGTTCGTCGACGCCCGCAACGCGAATCGACGCCGTCGAACGCCGCGAAAAGAGCAACGGTCTGCGAGGATTATGGTCGCTGTGGTCCTCCGAGGCAATTGCGAGCAATTAAGTGAAACCCGAGAGCGGAGGAAACTGGAGACGAAAAGCGCGCGCGGCCCGATCGATTACGGTTCCCAAGGCGGAGAAGGGTTTCCTGCTTGGGCCGGGAACGATCCGGCCAGAAGTTTCTAATTAACTCGCCGGAGATCCTCCGGCCGAGATTACGGGGGATCGTGAGATCGAAGAAGACGCGAGAAAGACGCGACGCGGAAGGAGCGCGGGTCTCGTGCGAACAACGAGCTCTTATTGATATAACTCGAGCCGCGTACCGTTTCCTCCTTTTACGTTCTCCCCTTTGGAGGATAGTTCGAATCTGGTCGGCGAGCGAACGTCGAATCGACAGGCCGGAAATTATATCGAGCGAGCGCGACCACTCGCGGCGCGCGTTACGTCAGATCGAACTCCCTGCGAATTTCTGACTTGCAAAACCCGCGGCTCCTCGTTCCTTTTTACTTTTACTCAAGGTTCCCGCGGTCCCGCAGTGCTCGCCGCGTGGAAACCAGAGCTAACGGTGATCCATCGGAACATATTGTTCGTTCGTTCGTTCTTTCCTCGTCCTTCGCGCGCGAGCTGCAACAACTTATCTTTTTCCAGACTATGCGTACAAGCGAATCCGTTGCAATCGTGCATGCTTCAACTTGTACGCGCGTAAACCGCAAGCCGGTAGAATGATTCATTCTGTCTAAGAAGCAACAAACATCTGCGCGAGAATCGCGGATGCGTCGAAATGATCGAGAGTCCTGCCTTGTTCCCTGCGGTCCACGGTTTTTCTCAAATTCGAGGAACCAACGTTCTTCGGGCTGAAAGAACGAAGCTTCCCTGAGAAAGCGGCGACGATCAAAATAACGAAAAATTCGATCTCTCTTGGCGGGCGGCAATCCTTGACTCTCGCTACTCGCTCGTCGAGCAGCGACGGCGCTCAAAGTACACGATCTGTTCCACTTCTTCGCTGCGTCGCAGAAACCGCGAGCGATCTTGCGCAACGGGTCGTGCGTTCGCGCTAATCGGGTATTGTTTGAATACCATTATCGTTCTGCTATCTGACCGCCGAAGGTATCGCGGCTCGTTAACGGGATTAACGAGATTAGCGCCGAAACGGCTTCGATCCGCCTTCCGCGGGACCATCGGGCGTCTGTGCACCGTTTCCCGTTCACGTCGTGCACTTTTCGCGGCAAAGGTAGCGCAGCGTCACCGCGAATGTCGCGCGACGCTAAAAAAGACAACGGCAAGAAACGTCGGAGTCTCTTTCTAGATGCTGCTGATTCTACACGGCGGAGGACGCGTTGGATACCAGTAGCGGACACGATGAAAGTGCAACTGCATTTACGACGATCTCACAATCGGTTAACATACGCTCGATATTAACCCTTTGCGGTCGAAGCTATTCGAATTCGAAATCCAAAACATGATTTCTGGTCTACAGTAGTTCTATTTTATATAATTTATTGCGACTTATGCACATGAAATTGAGCCTGTTGACAAGTACAATGCAATTTTAATAGTTTCTCTTCAGGTAGAAACGAGTCCGATGCTCTTAGAATGATTTTGAAAAATGGTTCACCAATTTTTAGTGGCGCCTCAGAGTCGCCATTCGAGTGCAAAGGGTTAAGCGTACGGTATAGTCCGCACGCGAATTGCTTCATCTTCGCCACTTCGCGCTTCAAGAGTGTTGTAATTTTGTTGCACGGCGGCCAAGGTTTCGAGAGTCCGCCGACGAATATTGGACGATTCTTCGGCTAAAGCTAATAGATAGGCTTGTCCCGATCGTTAGAATCTACGGGGTAGGCGCATCGATCGGTTGCTCCGTTACCAAGGGTGTGCGAATTAGAAATGAGAAAAGAACTGTGCGCGGGAGGTGGAGGCTTACCTGTTGCTCTTCGTGGACTCGAACCGTGGAGAAGGTGTCTCTCGGACGAACGGTGCAACACCCTCACTCGACGACGGTGCGCGCTAGACTGGGAACCGTGATCAACCGGCGGACTTTCGAAGATCATGCGAATCGGCGACGGCCTGCAGCTGCAACGCGAAAGAGAGTCGTGACGGTGAAGGTGGGAGGTAGGGGAAAGTGTATACCTGACGCGTGAGTCGTGCGAGCTACTCGGCCTGTGCGCCGTTATCGAAAAATGGGAAGCGAAACGAAAATTGTCTATCGCGCCGCGGCGTCCACATCCTGCTTTCTCCTCGTGCCGCTGTTTATCAATCCGAATTTCCAGCTGCTCGTTTTCTCGGAGCGTGTCTCGATCGTTTGCCCGCTTGCCCGTTTGGTCGCGTGCTGCGCCGCCTAACTCCGATAACTGGTTATCACGGTGCAATTCGAAGCGGCCCTAGAATTCTTGAAAACTACTATCGTCGACCAATCTGAAAAATCGACAATTTTCTCTAATCTCCCCTCTCGGACGTTTGTACAGGATCGTTGAAATCGTTGCCAGCGTTTCTCTAGTAAATGATTGGCAGAAAATTTAGCAAGAGAAAAGTGGAAACTAAAAGAACCGAGCGCGGAGGATCATCGAGTGCAGAAAAGAAATGCAGCGTTCGCTTCCGAGCGAACCGCGTTAATGAATTGAAAATTCAACACGTGGCCGGTGCGTCGACCACGTACGAGATAATACAACCTTCACCTAGTTACATCACCCACGTTGGAATTGCTCTAATTACGCGATGGCGCGCTATACACTGTACATTCCGCTAGCAAACCGATTCGCAAGCTGATTTGCGAACGGGAACGCAAGCTGCGGAGTATCGTGTTCGCTTTCAACCAACCTTTAAAAATATAACATTTATTGCACATATATTATATAACGTAACAGAAAATTTGTTGGCGAAATGCTTTCGGTCAAACAAATTAAACTTTATATATGTATGTGTGTATACATATTGTATATACACACACACACACATACATACACATGCATACATACATCATACATCATATACATATATATGTATATACACATACGGTTGATGTTCTTCTTCTCGATCCTGATCAATAAATATATCATGGTACGTTTCCGGCGCGATAGATTATAGCAGAAGACTTCTGCTAATTTCCGCGATTAACAAACTAACTATCACAATGGCTTGTGAACCATACTCGAAGCGACGGGAATAATGACGGAAGTTCGAGACAATCATTCGGATAGATCCTGAAATCGAATCGTAAACTGCGGATCTTTATGCCGAATGGAAAGAAGTCCATAGAAGATGATTCCTTTTTTAATAGTTCGAACAAATTCAATTTTGCCATAAGTGCATTGAATCCGCAGTCCAATCAAGAGGACAACCGCTACCCGCTAACTACTAGGGATCGACGCGACTTTTGCAGTCTTACGGAGGGTCAATCTGTTAACCAGGAAAAAAAAGAGTTATTTCATTGATCTCGTTCGTCTGTATGCTTCGACAGGGTGTCCATGTACGACTGTCGAAGACGAATCAAAGTCGACTGGTTAACAGGTTGAAGAGTAAGTTATTTCGCATACAGCTGGATTTTGTTATCCTAGTGGATAACAGGAAAGAGCGGCGCAAGCTTCGCAAGTCGAGCGAGCCTAGACGCGAGAAGACGAGAAGGAAAGCTGGTTTTACAATGGAAGAATAAGTTCTCGCGATGGAAGCTTGGGTGTAAACTTGCAGCTTGCAAAAATATAACGCATGGTTGCGTGGGCGTGTGAAGAAATTCTAAACCGAAGACGTATNCAACCTTCACCTAGTTACATCACCCACGTTGGAATTGCTCTAATTACGCGATGGCGCGCTATACACTGTACATTCCGCTAGCAAACCGATTCGCAAGCTGATTTGCGAACGGGAACGCAAGCTGCGGAGTATCGTGTTCGCTTTCAACCAACCTTTAAAAATATAACATTTATTGCACATATATTATATAACGTAACAGAAAATTTGTTGGCGAAATGCTTTCGGTCAAACAAATTAAACTTTATATATGTATGTGTGTATACATATTGTATATACACACACACACACATACATACACATGCATACATACATCATACATCATATACATATATATGTATATACACATACGGTTGATGTTCTTCTTCTCGATCCTGATCAATAAATATATCATGGTACGTTTCCGGCGCGATAGATTATAGCAGAAGACTTCTGCTAATTTCCGCGATTAACAAACTAACTATCACAATGGCTTGTGAACCATACTCGAAGCGACGGGAATAATGACGGAAGTTCGAGACAATCATTCGGATAGATCCTGAAATCGAATCGTAAACTGCGGATCTTTATGCCGAATGGAAAGAAGTCCATAGAAGATGATTCCTTTTTTAATAGTTCGAACAAATTCAATTTTGCCATAAGTGCATTGAATCCGCAGTCCAATCAAGAGGACAACCGCTACCCGCTAACTACTAGGGATCGACGCGACTTTTGCAGTCTTACGGAGGGTCAATCTGTTAACCAGGAAAAAAAAGAGTTATTTCATTGATCTCGTTCGTCTGTATGCTTCGACAGGGTGTCCATGTACGACTGTCGAAGACGAATCAAAGTCGACTGGTTAACAGGTTGAAGAGTAAGTTATTTCGCATACAGCTGGATTTTGTTATCCTAGTGGATAACAGGAAAGAGCGGCGCAAGCTTCGCAAGTCGAGCGAGCCTAGACGCGAGAAGACGAGAAGGAAAGCTGGTTTTACAATGGAAGAATAAGTTCTCGCGATGGAAGCTTGGGTGTAAACTTGCAGCTTGCAAAAATATAACGCATGGTTGCGTGGGCGTGTGAAGAAATTCTAAACCGAAGACGTATTTTTTTTTTTTGGTACCGTAGGAGACTCTCGGATGTGTGCTTCACGCGTGTACAAGTTGCGGAACGGAAGAATATACGCGTGGTTTTGTTATAATAATTGTTGTTCATTCGACATTTCGCAATCGGCTGCTATTGGAAGCTGAGAAGATGGTTCCGATCGATTAGGACAATCTTAACGGGCAGACACGCGTAGAGATTCTGTATCTCCTGTGTCAGAACTGTTGAATACGGAAGATGAACATCGAAGATGAAGTGGAGATTGATCGAAGTTTCCGACTGCCAACTTTTTAGCTGTCAATAGCAGTGCGTAGTCCCGAGGTGCTTGGCCTCTAGTTTAGCAGAAAGCGAAAGAGAAAGGAGAGGAATGAAGTACCTTTCCCGGCAAGACTTTTTCGAGGATCAATGCCTTACGATTGAAGTTTGTCGAATTCGCAATAGTTCTGCTCTGCATACAATCATACTCGTATATCACAATAGGGCTACGCCAGGTCGTTTCACCTGCTCTCGTTCATCTGCTGTACAGCGGTTTCTTTGTTCTGCACGTTCTCCACTTTGTACAGTATATCATGACAGAGAGGGCAACGGTCTTGTACATAGAGCCATTTGCGCAGGCAATCGCCGTGGAAGAAGTGGTTACACCGGGTGATCTTTGCGCTGTGCAGCTCTTGGTAACAAATCGCGCAAACGTCGTCCAGCCTGCGCAGCTGTTCGGCTTTCGCCTCAGGCAGTGAGTTGATCTTGTTGACTGCGGTGCGACGTTTCATGAATACGCGCCAACCGGCTTTCGCCTCGCACCAAATGTTTAGATATGCGTGGATGCACATCATAATGGCGCGAATACCGCCACCGGATTCGAACACCAAAATCCAGAAACCGTTGAAAAACAGTATAATGCCGAACGCGAACTCGACAGTGTTTCCGAACGAGCGTATGATATAGACGAAGTCGTCGAGCTGCTCCCAAAATGCGCTGCGGTACGCATCGACCAGGAACAGCGAGTAGATGGCCAGCGAGACCAGCATCTTCACCACCACTTCGATGTTGAATATCGTCGCGGCCAGCAGCCATGTACACAGGGTGTAATTGGACCATAGGTAGATCAGTAACGAGATCGGGAATAGGATTAGGAACGCGCAAACGGCCAGCGCTCTGATGTGCCGGTGCAGTGCGGGATTACGCGAAGCACTTAGAGACATCAGCAATGGGTTCACGATGTTGTGCACGAAATGCAGTATCGCGATCATCAGCAGGCTCAAGTTGCGGCACAGTCTTGTCAGTCGGCTTTCTTCGTCCAAGCTGGTCAACCCCGTTTGCAGAGCTAACATGTAGAACAAGATCGCCGATGCGGTGCCGATGCTGTTTTCACCCTCGTCTTCAGTGAGCAATACCCACTGGAAGAACCGACCTATGTAGTAGCTGATGTACGAGATTATACTGGTCATTCCCAAGAGAGCCGTCAACGTGTCGCAACCGTTCACCAGCAGACTCTTGATCATCATGAAATACGTAAATGACTCTTCATTGTATTCGTTCGCAAGAATCTGGATGACTTGTCGACCTGCGCGCAGTAACCAGAACGTACGCAACACGCATGGTACGTTCAATCGGATCCACTCGGTTTCGGCTAGAGCGGACAATCCGTAATCGTCGATGAAGGTGTGTGCGTGCTGACATACCATGTAGATTGTTTTCAGTATTGAGACGCCGTTGCTCCAGAACACGAAATTGCAGACCGCCATTGGGAGCAGTGCAGCAAATACTGGAGCATAATTAAGTACTTGCGTCTAGAGAGATATTGCGATTAGCTTTTTATTCTTGGGAATTTCTAGATAATCACGAGTACTTACTCACCGGTAAAGGATAAATACTCAGAAAAGAGGGCGCCACGAAAGACAGTACCAAAAACTTCTGCAACATTGGGTGCTTAGAAGCCTGGTGGGTGTAGCAAAAAATGCTTGCCAGTATGCATTGCAGTATGTAGTTTTGGATCATGAGGAATCCCGGTCCCTCGTTCAAAATCGTATCTATATCGAAAGACAGAATGTCGTCCAGTATGCTAGTTCTGCTTTCGTGCGTGGTCACATATACTATGATAGCTTTCATTGTACTTGTGTTCGACCAATTGGACAGGATTATCGCACCCATTGATATTAAATACAGGTGCACGATTATCAGATGTTTCGTCCATAACATGAATGTACATATCGCGGCAAAGCATCCTGGAAACAACGAAAACACAATTAATATAGCAGCACATTTATCTGTGTTTAATTATTTGTCGATTTAATCCATTAAGGTCCAACGTTTCAATCGCAATTTTTCAGCAAAATAATATATGAATTATTTTATTTACACTTTTACATCCAAACATTTTTTCAGTAGCATTTAAAATTTCTTTTTAGAAACTTTTCTAAGCAACAAATTGCTTAAGATTTGATGGGCTAAAGTACTGGTATTGTACAAATGCATGATAATTTTGAATAGTCTGATGAACATATCCCTAAGCAAGTGCTTCAATCGCGTAGCAAGAAGTTGACCCCTTCATTTATATACATTGACCCCTGAATTACCTTTGCTGCTTAAATCATATTGTTTTACCACTAAAGCCAGATCTTCGATTATATTTCCTACCAAGTTAAAGAAAACATAAATGTCTTACCTAAAGTGCAGCACAAAAATTTCAATATATTTTGTAGGTAAAATATTTTATAGGCGTAACTCCTGACAGTCTCTTGTGACAATTTAAATTCAATTTTGAGCAGTTCGTCTATGACGAACAGAGGTGGAACTCTAATTATAATGTCCACAAAGTTAAAAAACCTGTCCTGTATAGAATTCTCCATTTCTATGTCGATGTTTCCTTCTGGCTGAAGTTCAAAAACTCCCTTACTTTTTGGAGAGTTATGGTTATCGATGAGACTGAACTTATTTGGATTTGTTTAGCACCTGGATCTAAAGATTAAAAACAATCTATGATTAGACACCTTGTGCGCATGCAGTCGTGTTATCTCGTTGCAAACAAATAATTCGAATTCACGTACAAAGCTTACCTTTGATACAAATTCTCGTTTATTGCGTTCTCGGGTGACTGTTATCTCGTACACGCAATTAAGGCAATTGTTGTCGAAAACCGGTTAAATCAAACTCGGAATTCCAAGATTGGAAGTGGCAATTTGCTATTACGATTAATGACGTTAAAACAGATTTCGTGACGGGAAACACAACGGAATTTCGAAATTTAGAAGGATCGACGCGTTCGAATCCTATTCAGCCATACAAACGAAAAACATTAACCTGCTGAAGAGGAGCTGTTTTTCTTGATCTAATTGAAACGATCGCAACGTGAACCACTATCTTTTATAATGTTATGGACAAAAAATATTCTGTCATCGTATAAGAAAACAACAGGTAGTATGTATCTCGTTGAATTTTCGGTCCTCGAACTTCTGTCAGGCGTGTTTTGCTGTTATCGATGCTGAAGACAGAGTCGTTTTCTTGGCTATTCCTTACTTATACAAAATACGAGGAAACTATAGGCACTCGTATCCAATGACCGTAAGATTTAAACTAAAATTACATTTCTCTGTTACCACGTAATTTCCTCCGACGATAAAACTGTCACGTATTTGTTTGAGGTTACGGGAAGAACATGCACAAAGAATTTAAACGATTCTGACAGATGGCGCTGCAGAATTTTCGCTACGCGACGTGTACGAATGATCGACAATGATTAATTCGACGTCAGTCTATAATCTACATTTAGAGAACGATTCTTTTGAAATTAATCTGTTGAAAAGTTTAATCTTCGCCGTTCTCAGAAATGTAATGATTTGTCGATGGTTTTGCGAATTTTCCAGTTTGTTTAACCTTGGCATCGAGTCTTAACGAAATATATTACTCGTATTAATAGAAATTATGTACGTACCGTAAGCGTTCATTGCACAATGAATTAAATCGTTTTTAATTGCGCTGTAATAAGCATGTTAGTGCTTAGGCGCGGCCATACAAAACGCGGCAAAATGACTAACGAAAAGAAAAAAATACCGCTCAGTGTTTCTTGTTTTCAGCGCAAAAATGCAATTTTTAGCACATGTTGTTCTTCGTCTGATATCAAGAGATAAATGATAAAAAATGATCACTCTAAAATTCAAAGTCTAAATCATCGATTCATTTATGATTCGATCAAATGTATGGGAACAGGTATTTGGAATTATAACCGGAATATCGATTCGTTTAAAATAGCAGCGATTCTTGTGAAATTGAACCGTTATAGTACGGTCCTTATTCAAATGACGATCTGAAAGTAACGGTTACGAAAAGGGGAATACGTAGATATACCAAAGATTTTTGATGGACGACTCAAATGTACAGAAACATAACATGCAAACATTCACGATGGTAATCGATTGACGAAGAAACTACAATTTCATTCGGGTGCATTCAACCTATATCGATTCGACCAACGAAACTTTCAGAAACTGCAACTGTGTCGAAAAGTACAAGTCTTGCTATCAATGCAATACGAAACGATATACCACTCGCTAGTACATATTATATACATATTATTATGCTTTCCGAGGGTTGTAAAAAAAAAAATTAAGACACAACAACATTTTAACTAGCAACGCTCCTTCTAAGACAATTAATTTGAGTCTCGTACTGCAGTAAAATCCGAGCATGCGACGAAAGCATATATACATATACACGTACACAGATACATTCTTGTAATTACGGAGTCAGTATCGTTAATTTTATTATGCAAATGCATAGTTTTATTCGTTAATAGTATCACGTACTCTTCATCGTTCGCTCGCAGAAACAAGAAACGGTAAAAATTGTAATAACGTTACAATCACGAGATAAATAATGGAACGGGAATTAGGAGATAATAGTAGAAACAAAATTTTGGAAGCATACGTTCGATCTCGGAGCTAACCGGAAACACGTTACCTTTCGAACTATGCATGTCATTGCCCCAGGCGTACGCGATCTTATCTTGGTAAATTTTCTCTACAAAAGGTACATAATAACAGAAGATTGAAATCGTACATCGTGTTCGCCTGTAGTCCAACATCCAAACGCGTGGAACGTTTCGTCCCAAATACGAGACAATAAATTAAACAATCATACTCGAAAACAACGGTATACGAATGCATAAAATAATAAGCTCAGGCAGTTCGAACTGTTCAAATTCTGTTCGTTTCTAAAAATGAAAGTCCGCGAAAATTAAAGTTTAATGAAGGGAAGAAATAGAATGTAAATTCTACTTGAAGAATAGTATACCGTTGCCACAAGTATACCTATTCCTTATCCCTTTAAGGGCATGCAACGACACAAACGTGCAGAGTACAGAATAATCATACTGCCATTCGTCCATTACTAGCTACCATCGACCTCGTTATTGGATCTCAGCGCACAGTGCTCATTCGCGTATCTGTTAATCATCGAAATAAATCCTTAATGCGCTTACACAACGCAACTTATCGTAACGCTACGTTATAGTACAAATGTCTTTTAATTTTCCAGTCCGTTTGCTTTCGCTTCGTCTCCGTTCCCCCTTGGCTCCTCGACGGTTCCGACGATCTACGACCATCTACAACGATCTACAACACATTTTGCTGATCCTACACCTGCCGTTCGTTTCCAGTTTCAGTCATCTATCTCTGGCGAACCGATCCGAACTCCGATACCCCTTGTTTCCACACGGCACTGACATCTCTCTTGAAAAGCACATTACGTGATACAAAATTAAGTCCGAGACGATCTCGAAGATTCTGGCGGACTCGCGGACTCGGGAACCGAAAGCGGTGAAGCTCCCGGTCCGTTTTGTTGATCGATCATCCGATCATCCGATCATGATCAAGTGGAACCGTTAAATTCAAAGATAAGGGTTTAAAGTTTAAAGGCTTTCGGTGCTCGTTACTTCCGTTCCGTACGGTTTCGTTCCTCCTGTTTGATGCTAAGTAAAAGCATCTCGTTGCAGCTTCGTCTCGCGAATGAAACGATCCCCGATCTCTCGCTGAAACGCTACAAGGTACAATGTAAAATGGAGAGTAAAAAGGGTTTAAAGTGTTCGCCGTAACGCACTATGGCACGATTACTCTTACATCGACGTTGGGAACACCACGACTGTTCTTTCTACCTGAGTCGTCGAATAACAAACGAAAAGCCAACGATCAAGCGCGATTTTCCAAAAGTTCACTCGTTATTTGAATAGCCTGCAATAACCTTGACATTATTCTCGTTGGATTTTCGATTGGTTAACGCGAAATAGGTAAAAAGAGCGGTACTCACTATAAAAACGCTGGTGTGTATGGACTAATAATACATGTGGTACACGTTAAGAAAAATAGAGCTCCGACATTCGGCTAGTAATACAATGACGTTTATTATCACAACGAGACAGGTCCTGCTTGCCAGAAGATTCTGTTGCTTCTCTCATTTCTCTCTCTCGCTCTCTCTCTCTCTTTCTTTCTGACCTTTTCGCGTTAGTCTTAATCTGTTTCGTTTCCTTTCTCGCGTCGACTCGGATTGTCCGATGCACGAATGCAGCGATGATATACGAGGTGTGTCGTAAGGCATTTTCGTTTCGTTTCGAACAGTCAGAGAAAATAATGTCTTGTCCGGAGGAATTGGTCGCGCGCGAGTCTTCTCCAGAGTTCCTAGTTCTTCGTTGCACGCCTTTTGAACTATTTCGAAAGTGTAGTCGGTGCTCCGTGAATCGTACTGCACTCTGAGGCATAGGTTTTCCACGAATCCGATCCACTGTATGTACGAAAAGAAACATCTCTCAATTCCACTTTACGATAACTAAACACCTGCACGCGGCAGTCAACAAAACAGACTAACACAGATTCCATAGTTTCAATATTAATAATAGTAATAATAATAACGATAATAATATTAATCGTTTACTTATTCGTAAAAATAAATCTACTGTTCCTCGAGCACGTAACGAATTTTCGCGGCCTCGTGTGCGAATTCTGCAGACTCCATCGAGTATGTAATACAAACCGAAGAAAGATATTTTCGAAAGTATTAGGTCGATGCATAAGTCCTGTTGCTTACGTTCTAAGCGCAACTTTATCTTGAAAATGAACTTTTCCAATGTATGTACCTTGTAAAAGTTTTGTAAAAGTTTCTTTTCTTTGAGTTCAGTCAAGGAGTGAATAATTAGCGTAAGAAAGCTCGAACGTTTATCCTCGAGATGAAATTACGCTGAAAACTTGAGTGTAATTAAAATACGTATCGACCCAATAGCACAGTTTTCGGTGCAGTCTGTATCCTCCTACGAATAATGTGTGTTACGGCTTCAGCAATGTCGATTATGATTTTGCGTGATTTATTCGTGTGTCTTTTCCACCTCCCTCTTTCTCCATGAGTACACAATCGCTTGAACGTTCCGTTACAAAGATAATTGGGTAATAAGTCTTGGCTTGGTACTCGATCATTACGTTTCACGCATTGCAGTGAACATTATATTTGGGATATAATAGAGCGGGTTTCTTTTACAATCGTTTAGCCTTTTTCTCTTTCACACGCGTTTATGCTAATCGAGTTTTCAGAAGCTCCGCGACCAAGACTTGCAAGAATAAACTCTTAGTCGCGTGGTTTATAATAGTGGTGCATAAAATTCATGCTAAGCCTGCACTGCAAGAAACGTAACACGATGTAACTTGGTTGGCTGACGAATCCAACGCACACGGATCATCTTCTAAGATGATCGCGAATCATCGACGCTTAGAACTTAATAATGTCGCTTAAACGTTAGAACGGTGGAAACTAATTCGAAGCGCATCAACTTTGAAAAGAGAACAGAATTTCCTTACGTCACGTTTTATTATTTTTTTTCTTCTTTTTTTTGGCGATATAGCAGATCTTTCGGAGTATTTATACGGAATCGACGGACGATCGGAGAGTCCGAGCGTGCCTTCTACAATAATCCTTTTTTTAAAATAGCGGCCATATATTCTTCTTTTTTTCTGTTTTTTACAAAACTATATGATTGTTTATGTACCGGTAGGAAACCTCGAAAAATCGTTCGTTAACCTATGTCTTGAGAATTCTTCTTTGTACACGTGAAAATCGTTATTTCTAATTCTCGATCATGTACAATTTAAGTCACCGATGTAGGGTATCTTGTATTCATTTGTTTGTGTTCGCGCGCGCGCGCGAGTGTTCTTTTGTGTGTAGGTGTGTCAGCTGTTTTTTGCATCGATAGAAAAAAAAAGATCTCAATCGTGTTCAGCTTGATCGGCGATCAACGATCCCCACGCGTTTATGTTTCCGATTCTTATTTGTTACGGTTCGAAATTTCGCCCCTATCTGGTTTCGCGGATCTTTAAAATTACGTTCTTGCTAAATATACATGTTACTCAGCGCATACTTAATTTACATAAACTCTGCAAGCCCAGCTCACCATCGTCAAATGCACTTTTTTTTCTCTTTTGAAACTTTTACCTTTATTTCGAGTACGAAATCGCTGCTTATATGTGTAAGTGTATAAGTGTTAATAATTTATCGATAAGAAATATTTAGAAAATCTGTATTCCCTTCTAGTAATTACCACAGCTCTCGTATATTATATTCTCCTGGCCGAGGAAATTTCTCGTTAGAAAGCGAGTCGATCGACGAACGTGACGTCGCAACTCGTGCTGTTTTATTGCTAATCGTATGCAATTTTATATCGACAGTATAGTTCTCCTCCCACGAGCTTTTGGTAATAGACCAAAAATGACTCGTATCGGCAAATATCTTTTTATATGTCCGCAACTGACCATGCCATGGAAACTGTACTTGATTAAATTCCTTTTATTCAGAAAATAAAAATATGAGAGAATGTAGGCCTATATTCGTTTAACACTGGCTCTTTCGCTAAATAATGACAATTAAAAAGACTAAATTCAGAATATCGAAAGCTTTGCTTTCTCCATATAATTGGTAACTGCCCGATGCAACAAGCGTCATTGTTAATTAGACAGATATTAAAACGTATTTACTCTAAAAACGAAGGAAGTTCCTTTTTGCTCGAGAAGAATCCGATTTTGAATTCTGATTCGACTATCTAGCTGCGCTCATTCCTTAGCACGCGCAAACCTTACAAAGAACAATACTGAATTCCGAATAAAATATGCGACAATTTATAGATAAATCTCATTGGCACACACGACCATAAACTACTTTTTAATGCTTCGATTGTTAAGCGTTCTATGTTCCTGCGAATAATTTAATTAAGTAAATTCATTGTATGCCACACGCACGTGTCTCTGGTCTTATTCATTGTTTGTCCGACTGCAACATGCTTCTCTTTCACAGACAAATGATCTGCAATTGATAGAACAGATCGCACATGTTAGAAGCATCCTGGTTCGCGCGCGTTAGCATAATCACTTTTTACGAACAAGGCGAACTGAGAGAATATCATTACTGATGCGTTATGAAAAACCGTGAAATAATAACCGCCAACACGAGTCTGTTGATTGGTGAACTGTACATTCTTCTATCTGTGGGCAAAATGGTTCCACCGTGCAGTTTTATTTCAACTAACGGACTTTTTAGTAGTCTGGAGAGTTATGCATATGCATCTGCTTGCATGCATTTATATATATATACACATATACGCGCGACAAGGTGTTACGTGCAATTCTGTATGTTCGTGTATACATAGTGTGTATGAATATGCGAGCTGCGTGGACGGCGCTACGTACACCACTCTTCGGTCAGTCAACCATTGACGCATTAATAGTCAACTTTCGTCAGCATTATTCAGACACTCGTTGTTCCACTGGTATTCTTCAGTTCAACGTGTCTTGCTCACGTCAATATATACCGTTGAATAATCTGCAAAACAGAATGAAGCAGAATATTATTCTCCGCCCAGTTACCATTTTACCATATACTGTGCCTTCAAAAAATCGCCTGGTTCTTCTTCAGACGTGCCAGCAATAAATAAAAATCAATATAAAATCAAACAACACTCAAATTTCATTTCACAACAATTTAAGATTTCATTCTGCATTTGCTGGAAATTTTTTGAACGCACCAATCACATGCTTCTCTCTCTATTTACTTCAGTTCTTGATAAACGTACCTGCATACAGATGTGCTAGAGTTTGTCTTGGAATAGGAAGAGGTTGTTCGTAGCAGCAACAGCTACAACATTTTCAGATGGATGCCATGCGGTGTGCAATATCTTCTTATTAAAATCCAGGCAGTCGACGCTAATTTCATCTTTCTTTCGTTTTCCGCCGGTACATACCTTTTGAGCAATTTATGTGAGTGATACAAGATTGTATTTTGTATTCTATTGTCATAGAGGGTGTAGAGACAATCATGGTGCAACCGAGGATTTTTCGATTGTACCACAATTATTGACTACACTTTGTACAGGGTTTCGAAGGTTCATACCAACCTTACGCGGTTTTAGAAGTGTTCTTGGTCTGGCAATGTCACGTGCTGCTTCCAGCGTAAGATCGCGCTTAGTTGTACGATCGAATACTCTGAAGAAATTGTTATATGAACCCGTCATGATGGCGGAATCGTTACCACTCCAACAACATTCGAATTTGTCGAAGATACAATCATTTTCGTACAACGAACATAATTTTGATCTTAGGTATTCATGTACCTGTAACAACGCAATCACAATAAGTTGTTGGGGCTTTAATTTAATAGTCTATGAGTAAAGTATTTGGCCGTTTACATACAGGGTAACATTCAACAGGCTTCGTTTCCATTTGCAAGTCCCACACTTTCACACTGAGGTAGTCTCTACTGATCATATATCTTCCTGAATTACTAAGTTTTACATCACTTATACTCGAGATTATCTCTGAGAAAAAACTTCTATTAGTTGGGTCCTCTGGCTCCTCGAACAGCTTACTGTGTTGGTCACATAATGCAGCAGATCTCATGTCACAAAGTCTAATCGTTCCTTTGCTACTACTGTATACCAGAATATTACACTCCGCCGGATGAAACTCCGCAGCGGTTATAACTTCTGTTAATTCCTCCATATTGGTTGGCTTAATGTCTACTATATCTGTGTACCAATGGTTAGGAAAAGTAATCCGTTGCATCGTTTACAAGGCCACGCCACTAATAGCGAACGCGACTAACAAACAAAGGAATAAGAAAGTAATACAAGGAAAAAAGCTATTACATGAGACAGAAAAAGGATACTATAACTCTGGTCTGTAACCTCAAGATTCCAAAGATTAATTCTGAGGTCATCAGCACTGAGGTATGTCTCCTGATCACTGTTAACGCTTATACTGTTTATATGATAGGTGTGCGCATTGGCAAATATTCTTCTTGGTGATGCTTCCACCATCAACTCCATTGGTCTTATGGTTGGTACCTATGTGGTTTAAACATGTAAATATAAAGGTAGTTCGATCAATGGAACGTTTACCAGGATTATAAATAGTTTACAGTGTCGCGACTCTAAAGTCTCATAATGTTATGTGCATATTTGAACTTTGTGACCATATCTCTATTGTAAGCATTTTTGTTACAAATACAATGCTGTGCGGAGCACTACTATTTACATAGCGTTTTAGAACGAAGAATACGGCTGTAAATGAACACAATCTTTTGCTTTATTTAACACTCACCCTTAAAGAAGTGATACATGCCGGATCACGGATGGTACCATTGTCTTCCTTTGTGTTATATCCTTCTACTCTTTTATCCCGCTCGCTCACCTTCCACAATTTGATTGTTTTATCGTTTGTGGAAAGTAGAAAGTGTGCAGGATTTTTCCTCTTTAACCACCTAATTTTATTAATTTTTTCTTCTATCTCTAAGGATTTCAGGTAATCGAACTCAGGTTCGTGACTCTGGAAGGTGCTGTATACATTGTATTCACCTCTCCGAGGTATACTGTTTTTACTCTATACAAATGACAAACAATATTTCTCGATTATTATATAATTCTGTTGTGTTACCCAAATTTTTCATTTACATTTATCAGAGCCATTCAACTCGAATAGATTCTTTACATTGTGCTCAGAGATTATCTTTAGAACTCTTCTAAAGATAGAGAAATGTAGAGTGCAGTACATATGAAAGCTGGCAATAATCCAATACTACGTTATAAACATAATTTTTCTTCAAAAGACATGTTTCTGTTTGTTCGAAACGTAAGAATTAACATACTCTGGTAAGTACAAATTCTATTTACGCAAAAAATGTGTTGCATATTCATCTCCATGCAGACAGGTCGACTATCAGTTTTTTTTAAGTTTCGTTTAAGGATAGAAGTAACTATAACTTACAATGGGGTCTCTTTGAAAAATAACAACCCTTCCTCCTTTGTCTCCTGTCGCAAGGAGATCTCCATCGTGGTTAAATTCTACGCATGAGATTATATCGGCTGGAAAAGAGACATAACAACACCGTTTACAACACACACAATGTCTAATAACCAGCAGATTTCTTATTGAATTTAGAGAGTGAACTCACCTTCTGTGGCATCGTCTTCCAATGTTCCTTTCACCTGCGAAAAACACCACTGTATGTCGCCATTACCTGTAACAGAAACATCAGATCGCTGACATCAAGACAGATTGAAACCATGCTCCGAGCGAATATGAACTAGGATAGTAGCAGAGTGACGAGTCTCCAATAAAACAGAATTAAATCTTGTTTTAGTTTCTCTGTTTCCAATGTGTTTATATTCAAATGTCATATCGCAAAAGAGATCAAGAACCGATAACGCACATCGTCCGAGTGACATTGTTCTTTGACGAGCAGGAAACGGATACGTACGCGGAGTGCAGAGGACAAAAAGCCGACGCGCAAAACTCTGCTCTAAAATTGCAAGTATAATTTCCTACAGCGCACGCACACGTACACGGTATCGCTGTTCAAAAGAGGCTCCGAAAAGCGTCGCGAATCGATACAAAGGATAACGTGTCGTCCAGAATGAGGATAAGAGGGAAAAGTTGCACGAGAAGCAGGTAACGTCTCGTGTGTACACCTGCGAGGGCCGGTAACGTGATTAACGTGATAAACGTGGAAAAGAAGAGCTGTATCAGTGAATGTAACTGGCGAGGAATAGAAAAGCGTGGTGTCTCTGGTTTGCGGGCCGCTCGGGACAAAGAGAGAAAAGGCAGATAGAACGTGATACGAGCGAGCGACAGAACGAGACAAGGAGGGGAAAAGTGCGAAACGGGACCTGTAGAACGGGAGAAAAGGTAAATGCAAGCCTACTTGAAGTTCCGGCGCAATCCATCGTGCTTCTAGGCCGTCGCCACCGCCGCCGCCGTTGCTGTCGCCGTCGCCGTGGCCGGCGACGGGCGCATCTGGCCCCGCGCACGGCAAGTATCCAGAGTGTGGGTACGGGTGATTATATTTGAGGATGCGGAATTGACGAAGAAGAACCGTTGCGTGTGTACCGAGAGCGCTGCGGATATACCCGTGAACCCGCGGATATAGTGTATCTGGGTCAAGGTTCAGGTTGCCGCGGCACAGCGAGGCGGCCAGCAGGAGCGACGCACCGTCCGTTCTTTTTCGTTCGTGTCGTTATACGTTCGTGGGTTCGTGGGTTTCGATACGATACAGTACGGTACGGTTCGGTTCGGTTCGGTTCACGGTCCGTATCGTTTCGCACGTTCCGCGTGCGGGTAGCAATGCGCACGGATGCCGAACAGAGCCAGACACACACTATCGCTCGCCTTATCACACTTACTTACCGGCCATCTCGCACATCAGACACTACGCGATCAGAGAGATATTCGCACGCGCGAGCTTACAACTCCCGGTGCGAGGTCCAATATACAACCGTGTTCTACCACTCGAGACCAGAGAGACACCGAAGAGACACACGACACACACGCGCGCGGCGCCCCACGCCGGCCACCACGGACCAGGCAGAATCTTCACGATTTAACAGGACACTCCCCCGTGATCAATCTTCTTTTTAGCCTGTCACATATTCATCGGTCTAGCCCGCCATCGAACAGAACGCGTACGTCGAGATTTCAATGGCGGAATTCACGAACGCATAACCGCACAACACTACTATGGCGTGACGTCACACCGCAGCTAGGTTTCGCTGGTTCCACTGGAACCGCCATCTTGTACGCGAAAGCCGACCGCCGGCGAAACTTCACGAACGGCCACGACCGAGGGCGAACCTGTTCGCCCGCCAAATTCAAACTCGCATTCAGACGGCTAACTCGAAAGGCGAAGTTGGACGGTTATTAATTGTTCTCTTAACGATTTCTGTAATTCATTGGTCAATGTAATCGCAGTAATTCGTAATTCGTAGTTGTTTTTACAGCCATGTAAATTAAGAACGTATGTCATAAGAAATAATACATATATTTCCCGAGAAATATTCAACGTCGTTGTTGTAGAAAATATTGCTATAGATTCAATCGTAATCATCGTATGATTAATACATTTAATCATGATTATATGTTACAAATGATCCGAAACTTATTTCTTTGACCCTTCGTTGAACCCGAACCCCTTGCGTAGGCAACCGAAATGCAAATGAATGCGCCCGAGTAACCGGTTGCCTACGCAGAAGGTTCGTTTTACGCGAACATTGGAAACTTCTATCCTGTTCTCGTAATCGTGAATTTTAGCAAGCCACGCGTGCTTATATATTCGGTCTCGCACTGTTCAGAATATAGTGAAACAAATGTTACCTAACAGCTCCGTCAATTTCTCGTGCAGGTCCTCCAGGGAGGAAAACAGGGGTACGTTCCTGGATAATCGTGCAAGGCTCTTTGACGAGCGAAAGTCGGCCAATGACCGATCCATTTTCGACGAGGCTGAACCGACTCCGATTTCGAACAGAGCTCGTTATCCTTTTTCGATTTCTGCCTGCGACCTTTGATCGAGCGGGGATCGCGCGATATGTCGTCAAAGCGGAGAATACGTGACTCGCTTCGAACAGTTGGAACGCGTTCGACAGAGAAAAGCCTCATTGTTTCGCTTTAAACAGATCTCGCCGATACATTCTCGATACGGACCCGGTGTCCGGTGCGCATTCAACGTCAACCCTTTCGGCGTTGAATACCTTCGACGAACGGGCCGCGAGCATTCTGCTATTTTAACACTGCAAACTGTACTTTTATCGCGTCGGCTAAAACAAGTTGGAAACTTGGCGGTACTATTCGGAAAACAGGCGATTCGATTGGATATTAACGGCAGGGTGTGCCATTCGCGTCTGAACGCATGCCCGCGGCTCGGGAAAAGTTAATGCTCGTTTCCTCCGGCAACAATTACGTTCCGCAAGAATACAGCAAAGAAGTTACCATCGATTTTCAATTTAACGGGAACACATGCCTCGAATCAACTTACGGCCGTCCCCCCGGCGAAGATTACTCTCTCATCGATCGTCCTTGACCGTTTACCGGATACACCAATTTCGTGTACCATCAGTACGCTACTCGAACGATCTTCGGTCATTAAGTCGCGGCAAAACAATACGAATTATCTTGTACTGGGGCTCGGAGCGGAATGAAAAGATCGAAGAATCTTTGGACTTTAGCCGGAGAACTTTAGGGCGTAGTTCGGCCGAAACAGCTGATTTCGAATCCGATCACGACGAGAGAGGAACCGAGGGCCTTCGAACGTGGCCCGATCTTCCGATTGATTTTTCGAGTTGCGTCGTCCGCGCTCTAATTGATTAATTGATCGCTCCTACGGTTGGGACCGGCCCCACCGTCTCCCGTCGACAAACGGACGATCTTTCCGTCGTTTCGATCGACCGGACAATTAACTCGGCAGATCAAACAAACGAACGCGAAGAGTGGAACGATTGTTGTTGCGCGGCACGGAACCGCGCACGATAGAGGACACCGTCTCGAACTGGTACGGGAGTGCACGGAAAACCAGCTCGAACGACGCGAAAACTGTTGTTGCCGAACGCGTTAGAGGCTGCTCGTTAATCAGTTCGCTCTAACGAGTCTGCACACCGAGAGACCCGCCGCGGATCGCCGCGCAACGTATGTGTATTCGCCTCGGCGTAATGTTTGCGCCGCGACTGTGCCGTTGCAAAAAGCACCAATGAAAACAGGGAGAAAAAAGGCAGAACCGACCGTTCCACTCGGTAGCAAACCACCGCCGTGCAACACAAACGGCGGACAGACGGAAACTTCCTTCGCCTCCCTTTTCTTCTCTTTCTAAAAGTCGCTTAGAACCGGTCCGAGCGGAATTTCGAGGGACTCGCAGCTCTGGGTCAGAGATCGATCTCCCACCGACGATAAATAAGAATCGGCTCGCAGAACGCGTGGCGACGGATTCCCGAATCTCGAAACGATAACAAACGCACGGTCCCAACAGTCCACCGGACGGTTGGAAAAAAGTTTGAATTCGTCGGACAGATGATCGTTAGCAGGGAGGTGTTCTTTCTACGGAGACGAGTCGCGTCGGGTTCCCGGATCGTTACCACTGAATAATAGAGGCGACTCCGGCGTCCGAATGCGAGAAAGCGTCTCGAATTCGGAATTCGCGTGCCACGGATTGCCGGCTCGTAATCGATCGGATCGTACGCGGGCCCGGCATCGCTGAAGCCCCTCAAGAAGTGTCTCCGACCCGTGGAAACGCAGCCGCACGCCAGTCGAACACCGGCCGATCGATAACGAACCTTTCGAATAACCGTGACCGTGTGCCGTTTACTGTGTGCGCCCGGTCGCGCGTAGGGCACGATTGTTTCATACGCTGCTCGCTTAATCACTGGACATCACGCTGCTCGCTACTCACTGACATCGCGCTCCTCGTGCCGGATTCGGAGATCGAAGGGTATGTCGATGTGGAGAATACTTTTGTTCAGGTCGACGACGACGGGTCTTCGACTCCTGAGACGGTTCCGCGAATTCATTTTGGTCACAATTCACGGGAACCGTTTTTCGCCGAGCGAACGCTACAACGACAGCATACCGTGTTGACAACACGTGACACCGGGACCCCGCGAGTTTACCAACTGGTCGCCTAAGCGGCTAAGCGCCAACAATCCCCGGCTCCCTTTGCGCGGAGCGATATCCTCGAGACTCGCGTGTCGCTACTACGACTAGAACAACGCGGAATCCTTCACGAGAATTCACCAAGGCTCGCTTGCCACTTACGATCGGAAACTCGTGCGAACGTGTTCCTGATATCATATTTTAAAGGAATCGTAACGCGATCATAAGTAAATCAAAGATTTTAATCGACCATCGGTCCCGTACATTCGCTCGATCCCATCGCTAGAGGCTCTTCGATCGACGGAGATCGGTACGAGGAACTTTCGACCGAGACGCTTCGAAGAAAAAATTTACGACACCGGATTCGAATGACCGAGACCTGTTATCCAACGACGTTTAATGTACGCTCGTTACGCGCGTCGTAAAAGCTCCGATGCATATGCATTTTATGCGTACGTAAGCGTGTCAGAGCAGAGAGCGCCGGATTGCCCCGGCGAGCAGGCAACCGGCTCGACTCGCCCGTATCCGGCGCAGCTCTCTCCAGGCGCCGCAGAATTTCGCGCGAATTCGAACTTCATTGCCATTCCTGAGAGTCAAGGATTTTTGGACGGCCGATTAGGAGGCCGAAAGCCTTGAGACTTATCCGAGTAGATAACCATTTGTTTGCAATGCTGTTCGCGGCCAATAATATCTTAGCCCGAGCTGAGATGCTTGCACGATATCGGGCAATCTTCGTTCGAAACCGGGGAAAAAATAAATCATCCGTAAACGCTTTCTCACTTGCGAAAACATTCGTTTAACCCTCGGACTGCGTTCGTTTACGATTACAATATTTATTAATAGATTCGTTTGCAAAAGTCGCGCGAATGTGAATATCGTACGTCAATATCGTCGTGTTTAGCTTTTATATTCCTCAATTATTCTCCTTTAGTTTGTTGTATCGATCAAATAACTCTTCATAAATGATTTTATACAAGGAACGTTACATAATGATATTACGTAATGCTGCCACAGTGTAAAAAAAGTATACATGAAATATACATAAAAAATAAATTTATTTTCACGATGTTATATATATATATATATATATATATATATATATATATATATATTATAACGATATTATATTTTCACGAGGATTAAATGAAATTTATGTAGTCAGAATAAACTTTCGGTTGGAATGATGCAACAATCTAAAGAAGAATGACTAGCTTTATCGAATAGATAAAAGTCTAATTGTTTNCAAAGATTTTAATCGACCATCGGTCCCGTACATTCGCTCGATCCCATCGCTAGAGGCTCTTCGATCGACGGAGATCGGTACGAGGAACTTTCGACCGAGACGCTTCGAAGAAAAAATTTACGACACCGGATTCGAATGACCGAGACCTGTTATCCAACGACGTTTAATGTACGCTCGTTACGCGCGTCGTAAAAGCTCCGATGCATATGCATTTTATGCGTACGTAAGCGTGTCAGAGCAGAGAGCGCCGGATTGCCCCGGCGAGCAGGCAACCGGCTCGACTCGCCCGTATCCGGCGCAGCTCTCTCCAGGCGCCGCAGAATTTCGCGCGAATTCGAACTTCATTGCCATTCCTGAGAGTCAAGGATTTTTGGACGGCCGATTAGGAGGCCGAAAGCCTTGAGACTTATCCGAGTAGATAACCATTTGTTTGCAATGCTGTTCGCGGCCAATAATATCTTAGCCCGAGCTGAGATGCTTGCACGATATCGGGCAATCTTCGTTCGAAACCGGGGAAAAAATAA